CTCTCTTCAGTCACCACCCCCCATTATGAAATTCGCCATTCAGAATTTTAAATAAACTTTGGGAATTGGTTTTCAGGTCAGGATGTTAGGAAAAGCATCCTGGGCTGGCACTCCTTACCCATCAAAATCACTTGCCTTTGGCTTTTCAGAAAGCGAAAACAAGATGGCGCTGGGGTTTTATAAGCAATAAAATATGTGACTTCTGTAACATACTTTTAAATGTATTTTTGAAGCCTAGTGATAGCTACATAAACCCTTCCCCCTAAAAGAATCAGCTTTCCCATTTCCTGTGTGGATCAATAGGTTTGATATGTATGGAAAGTAATCAGGTTATGCTGACTGGCAGCCTTAAGGGTTTATAACTTGCTCTTAGAATGAATGCCTGGCTCTTTGCCTTCAGCAGTGAGCTTGTTAACAGCTCCTGTGGTAAAGTTAAGGCTCTCCAGGCTCCTTTCTCTTGCCCTAATAGTTGGTATGCTTTTCTTAAGCGGCTGCAGAAGAGAAATGTGAACTCACTGATACTGTGAAATGGTTTAGGAGACTACAGCAAAAAATCTTACTTAGAGTCCTTTGCCATCTCCTGCTTTTTTAAAGGAATGAATGTATTAATGTATTTGGTTCCTTCATCTCAAGGAGAGAAATTGGGAGATTTTGTAACAACCTTCTTGGCACAGAGCCACTTACAGCCAGCAAATATTTGCTCAGGTGGTTCCACACATTGCCATCAGACCTGGATAATTTCCTAGACTCATACAAAGTTCAGTGTCTCAGACTTGCCTCTGTTCAAGTCCTTTTAATCTAAAGAGAAATGTACCTGAATTTAAATACGTTGGCAAAAAACTCAAGACACTTAAATAGTAAGAAGTGAACTTCATGTTTATCTGTGCATCTGTCTTGTGGGCCGAGCAGGACAGGAGTACAGTAGAGAATTTGGCTCCTCAGACTTTGTTACATTTGATTGGTTCATCTGACCTCATGAAGGGTCATTTTACCAAGTTTCCTACATCTGGTAATCCCCGGGAGGGAGGAATTCCTGTGGGGTTGGGTCTTTGACCTCCTTATTTTGGCCATCAGTGAGGGGTGACGGGTGGAGGTAGTTTCTATCATGCTTAATTATGAGTTAACTAGGACAGCTGTAAAATGGTAATGACTATCATTACTGACCTAAACCTGCTTCAAAGGAATTCAAGTGTCTGCTTCTGTAGCTAATCTCACCAGCCATCCCAACTCTACCCAATTGTTATTTACAGAATTGGTCATGATCAGAATTGGTCATCCCAACTCTACCCAATTATTATTTACAGAATTGGTCGTGATCAGAGTACCTGTGTGCTAAGGATGTTTGGCTAAAGAAATAAAGAGCTGTTCCTTGGGCTGCAACTCTCATTGATTTCATCTGGTTTTTGTTTTCTTTCCTGTTGAAATTGATTTGGGTGGCTGATATTCCTGGCTAATGAAGACAATTAAAACACCAAGCATCAGCACAAACAGAAAATAACAGGTCCTTCTTGGAGAGCCTGCTGAGAAAGGCAAAAGATAGGGTTATACTGCCGCTTTGTGGTTAAAAGTGGCACTTTTACAGTAAAAGGCCAGTTTTTCTAATGAGTCATTTATCAAAATCATGAAATGGATGTAGAGGATAAGAGATTATGAAACTTTAGTTCAAGATAATCAAACATCACAACATGGGAGGTTATATCAAGTTGACTAATCTCAGGGCCTTGACAACTTCTCATAGTAGTAAGAAATTCTACAAATTGAGACGAGAGTATGGATATACCACTGCTCCTCCTTCAGCATCACACATTTGTATTAAATTACAGTCTATGGCCATGATTATACATCACTTCACACATAATGAAGCCTAGTCTAAAAAAATAAACCGTTAGACTGCTATTCATTAATATTTTCATCCTGTACAACCATCTTAGTGGGACATTTAACACCATAATAACTAGCTTTTCAGCAAGTCTTGTGTGAAGGGAAGTTTTGACACATTCTCTCTAAGTTATAGCCTTTATTCAGTAGCTCAGAATGGTTTGCTTTCATCTTCTCTGTCCTGCATGTCTTGGTAGGCTGGCTTCCCCTTGTTAAGAGAGAGAAAGAGTAAAGAAAAGTACTTGGAGGAGAGTTGTTTCCAATCCCACACCAGCTTGAGTAATTCAGACAGCAAGCTATTTTCTAAGAATCTGGTGCTTTATGTATGGACATTAAAATATTTTGTATGAATGAACGAGTGAATTAAGGAAGGAACAAAGAAATGGCTACACAACACAAGAATCTGTTATTTGAGCTTCCTAAAATTGTTTTACATTAGAATGGCATCTATGTATATTTTTTAATTTTATGCATCATTCTTCATTTTGTGCATTTTTTCATCTCAGTTGTAATCCCCATAGGCTTCCCATCACCAATCCACCCATGTGGCATCATGATAGTCCTGTGCACTTTTCCTGCCCCAGTTTTTTGTTTTTAAGATTTATTTACACATACAGAGCTGGGGTACAGGCCAGAGGTGCAGGGGCAGTAAGAGGATTCACCAGAGACAGTGGAGAGCAGAACAGGCTGACTGACAAAGTACACTACTGAGGGGAGCAGCGGGCAGGTCAGGAGAGGTCTGCCATGCCATGTGGGTCACCTCCAGGTCAGGGATCAAACTCATACTGAAGTGACTTTAGCTTCTTAGTGCTGGCTTTAACCTGCTGCCACCAGGGAGGGCCCCAGTTTTGATCCTGCCCCAGTTTTGATCCTGTTCCCCTCTCCGCCCCCTGTAGAATGTCTAGTTTATAGTTGTTCATTGTTTTTCATTTTTACTGTATTCCAATTGCTTTTTTTTTTCTTCCCTGATCCCTTATGCTTCTGTTATTAGTGAAACCATCTGTTATTTTTCTTTTCCTTTCTGGCTTATTTCACTAAGCATACTCCCTTCCAGCTCCATCCATGTTGCTGCAAAAGGCATGAGTTTATCTTTTTTGATTGCCGAATAATATTCCATTGTGTATATGTATCACATCTTCTTGATATAGTCATCTATTTCTGGGCATGTGGGTTGATTCCACATCTTCCCTGTTGTAAATAGAGCAGTAGTAAACATCAGGTTGCAGGTGTTCTTTCGAATTATTATTTTTGTGTTCTTTGGGTAGATATCTAGGAGTGAGATTGCTGGGTCATGTGGAAGCTCCATGTTTAGCAGTTTGAGAAACCTCCCCACAGCCTTCCATAGTGGTTGGACCAATTTGCATTCCCACTGGCAGTGTAGGAGGGAACTGCATATAAAGTTTTATTTCATTTAGATTCATAGGACGCTGTGATTTCTGTGCTTGCATGAATCCGTATGAATAACTTAATGTGATGCCAATTTGTAGTCTAAGTTTAAATGAATTATTCTTTGCATCAGCAAACCAAGTGGTGGTTACTTTCATTCAGTTATAGCTGGCCACGCAAAAGTCATTGGGCCACCCACTACTGTGTACATGCACGGGTGTAACATATAACCATATGGAGAGAAGTCCTACATTACTAAGGAAGTGCTCCGTTTATGTATAATGGAGCACTCGGAAGTGTTGGTGTTGATTTAAGGGCCTAATGAAAACAGTTGATTTCATGTCCTAGAATTCTTCCTGCATACATTGTAGGTAAACTTTATTCCTTGGCTTCTTATTACAAAAGAACATCATTTTGTTCAATGCTTTAATATAATGTTGATGAGAAAATAATAATTTCACCTATTCGACTAGAAGACATTATTCAAGGAAATGTGATGAAAGTCACATTTCCAAAGACCTATTTACAGTGTTAAGTGGGGACATCTGTATTCATCCGTTTGAAATGTTCAAATAAATGTGATGTGTTTCACCTAGAGGAAATATGGGCAGCTGAACTGCCTTTGCCAAAATGGTGTCCTTTGCCTTTCAGGGATCAGGACTATTTGCCTCTGGGCCAGCAGGTACTGGCTTGATGGGAATCTTTTATGGCTAAATAAAACACAGCATTCCAGTAAGGCAAATGGAACTGTAGACCCGGACAGTTGTTTTCAAGGAAAAAAGAAAAAAAGAATTCTTATTCATTATAAGACCAAAAGAAAGTATTTGCTTTATTCCTGAAACTTAAGATTAAAGGAATTTTATAAAAACATTCTAGAATTTAGCAAAGCAAGTATTGTTTAAACAAGGCCTCTGGAGAGAAATAACTGTTATTTTGAGATAGAACTCTGTCTTTCAAGATGTCTCACTCTTAAAATACTTCACAAAACTGATCTGACCATTTTCATGACTTTGTAGTGGGAACTGGGAGCAGCCCCCAGGGAGAAGCAACTTCAACCAGTGCCTTGGGGAGTCAGGCATTGGGACTCACATGCTTATCCTTGCCTCTTGGCACTTGTGACCCTCTAAGGTCTCTGCCTTTCATAGCTTTTCTGGGAGGAAAAAAAAAAAAAACAGTATTAGGGCTCCCCCTGGTGGTGCAACTGGTTAAAGCACCACATTATGAAGCTCTCCAAAGCCACTGCTACACGAGTTCTATCCCCAGCCAGGGAGCTGACCCACATGGCCTGGCAGACCTCTCCTGACCCGACCTCTGCTCCCCTCAGCAGTGTATTTCAGTATATCTGCCTGTCTGTTCTTCACTCTCTCTGGTGAATTCTCTCACCCACCACACCTCTGGCCTTTGCCCCAGTTCTGTAAACATAAATAAATAAATCTTTAAAACAAACAAGCAAAACCAGGATTATCAGTGCTAGCTTCACGGGCTGGCTGCAGCTATGAAAAGAGGAATCACTAATAAAGTTTTAAGCACATGCCAGGTACCAAAATGTAGCTGGTCCAACTCTTAGAAGCTCATTCATCATTGTTTATATGTAGGTTTTCTTTGCCTCTGGTGATGTATTCTTAGCAAACATCTTCACCCATCCATTTGAAAGTGCATTTTTTGAGTGTTCAGTTATTGAGTCCTCACAGAAACCTAATGAAAGAAAACAGTCTCCTACATTGATCTCTCTGCAGGAGGATAGCGCTCTGCCCCCATGCCACCACCTTTGAAGGACTGACTGACTCCATCAGCTGGTGCCACCTCTGACTCCTGCCATGGGGCCCTCCGGGAGCGTCCTGAGCAGCGGACAGATGCAGCTTGTCCTGTGGGGATGTTTGGCAGCTGTTGCCACATTCTTCCTCATCACCTTCCTCATCTTCCTCTGCTCCAGTTGCGACAGGTAAAAAACCATGCATATCCACTGGAAGCTCAAAATAACATGTTCCCTGTCATCGGAAGACTCTTGATATGAAAAGCCTATTAGAAATAGAATCCTTCATAGCCTCACAGAAGTTCCTGTGTTAAGATTAACCGCTTTGCAGCAAAGGATCCCAGAGTATTTTTTATTATTGAATGAAAATCCCTATTTGATTCTTCTAGGGAGCAACTGAAAGAGCCCCTTAGAAGATACTTTGCAAAATAGCATTCCTGATACTTTTTCAAGTGCATCATGGTCAAAATGTTAGTCCTTTGCCATCCGTAGACCTTTGGAAATCTAAATGTCATATGCGTTATTTTTGTTGCCACCTGAAAGTAACTGAGAAGTCGTGCTATTATGTGGCATTGGTGGGATCATTTTTAAAAGTTGATCATTTTTTAAAGTTAAATCATTTTTTAAATCTAGAACTGCAATTAAGAAACAGATTAGTTTTCATAAAAGAGAAACATGTTGTGAGATACTTACGTTTTTTTTACAATTAGGTCTCTCTTTTTGGTCTTCAGTCCTCCACCTTTTCTTCCTCCCAGTCTCTCTGTCTCCCTCACATAAATTTGTACACCCACCTCCCCCCACACTCACATTCAGAGACTTTGTCACAGAGAAGCAAATTTTATTCTAAGGGGGAGTATGTATTTTCAGGCTGGTGAGACAGTGTTTGACCACGTGCAGCCTTCAGTGGCCTGGAGACTGAGAGCCACTGTGTCAGTGTGGGGAACTCAGCTAGCCAACCCTCTTTCAATTCCCTTCTCAGTAACCTCGGTTTTAAGAGAGGCAACTTGTGTGCCATTTAAGAAGCTGGATATGATTTCCCACTAAAGTCCCTGTAAAAATGGAAATGCTGGGCTCTCTATACTCATCTCCTTCCCTCTGTCCAGTTTGGACCCAGGCCCCCAGGGAGTATGGGTGGAGCCTGGTCAGAGAAATGAAGAAACAGGCCAGAGCTTTTACTCCCCTGGGCCTGGTAGGACGGCCTCTGTAATAACTTCTTTTCCCACTAGGTGTCACTCTTGCTTAACACGTATATAGGAAAGGGAATCTTGTGTTGATGGCTTTCTTTAGACTGTCCTGAGCAAAAATAAATTCTATTTTTACTTGTTGGACTTTTCCACAGACTGGAAGTACATATGACTCATTCTGAGAGCATGTACCCTTCATGACTTGCCAAAATTTGTATTTTCTTTATGTTCTCGATCCCATTGCTGTGTGTGACTTTGCCACGATTTTAAGTTCTTTTTGAGATAAAAAAAGAAAGTCAAGAGATAAAGATTGCCTGGATTTCCATTAATCAAGAACCTATCCTTAGTCCTTTAGTTGAGAACCTGTATTTTCTATTCTTGGGGCCTGGGAAGAGGAAGAGCCTTGAACCTAGAGAAGGGTGATAGCAAGCACTGTCCAGCTTTTGTTTCTCCGGCAACATAGCTGGTTCCTAAGGCGGCTTCAGTGTTGATCCAATTAGGAGAAGTTTTCTTGTGATTTTACAATGGTTTGTTTTCCATTTCAGAGAAAAGAAACCAAGACAACACAGTGCAGACCATGAGAACCTGATGAATGTGGTAAGTCCGTGTGTGTTTGTGTGTGTGTGAGAGAGAGAGAGAGAGAGAGATTGTAATAAACCTCAGCCATTTACCTAAGCATGTCCCTACATGCTTGTCACCTGGAGGAAGCCAAGGGAAAGAATTGCCTGGTCTGTGTCCTCTTTCTGCAAGTTTAATATAAAGTGTAAAATTCACCGTAGGTAGCAGCCCGGCCAGTTTCATTGTGAGTGTTTCTGAAATGGATGTAATTGTCCTGTTGCCAGAAAAAGCCTTTGGTATGTCAAGCTACCACAGAGCTGTTTCTCTTCTGCCCCTGCCTGCCACAGTCCTATATTGGCTTACTAGGGCTCTGGTAACACAGGACCACAAACTGAGCTGCTTAAATAACACATTGATTGTCTCAGTTTGGAGGCTCAACACTGGAATCAAGGGGTGGCAATGCCGTGTGCCTCTGAGGGCTTGAAGGTGAGTCAGCTCCAGGCAGCTCTTAGCCTGGAATGCTGACAATCTTAGGGAATTTCTGGTATGTGGACCTCTGTCTCCACTGTCAGGTGATGTTCCTGTGTCTTTTCACGTGGTTTCACTGATGTGTGTATGTCTCTGTTCAAATTCCCCCTTTTTATAAGGACTCCAACCTGACAGTCAGTATCTGATTTCCATCTAAAATCACGTCCTGAGGTATTAAGAGTTAAAGTCTTCAATTTATGGATTTTAGGAGATTCAGCCCTAACTGCTGGTCACTGAATTAACCAGAGCCTCAAGTCAGGAAGCTCTCTGTGCCTGCTGCACCTTCCGGTCTGAGGGCCTCCCACCCTGGTGAGGAAGCCGCCAGGGCGTCCCAGCCCTTCCTTACTCTCTCCTCTCCTGGCTATGCCCTCACCCAGATGAGCAGTTCCACAGCTCAAAATGGGTCCACCGTGATGTTCAGAGTGCTGACTTAATCAGAGTCCTGACCAAGCCTGACAGCAGTGCTAAAACTGTGAAGAGGCTTCTGGTCTGTGACAGTATCTTCTCAGGACCAGACAGAAGTGGATGGGGAAGCAGTGGGGGGGAGAAGATGCAACAGAGAAGGATGGGTGTGTCGGTTATGTCAGGTCTGGTATAAAACATGCAGCCAGCATAGAGATTCAGTGCTCACCCAGAAACGTCACCTGTCCAAGACACATTGCCCTCTGAATTCCCTGGACTTGGGAGAGGAGGCAGACAGGAAGTTGCTTTGACTTCCTCTTTCCTCCTGGGAGTCCTGGCCTTTGGACTTTTCTCTTTTTCCCACCCCTCCCCTCCTTCCCATCCCTCCCCTCCTCTTGCATCTCTCCCACCTCTTCTTAGTTCCACCCCTGTCTTTACCTTTTTCCCAGCCCCCATTCCAGCCTCCAGTTGCAATGCACTGCCCCCTTCATGATCCCAGCATCTCTCTGCTGCCCCCTGCTGGTTGCCACTGTGGTGGCAACTTGAGGGTGGGTGAAGAGATAATGGGGCTCCCCTACTGACTGTTACATCCCCCACAGACACCATCTTCCCACCACTCTCCAATAGGCTAGTTGACAGGTCAGATAGGGAGTATCAGACTGCTAGGAAAGAACTTCCATCACTTTGCTTCCTCCCCATGCCGTTTGGAGCTGCTGTGCTCCCAGGTGGCACCAGGCACAGAGACCTGCGATTTTCCTGGGATAGGTCCAGGGGACCTAGAAAAGTACCTTTAGCAAGGCTCCAGGTCATTTTGAGGTGGCTTAAATTTGAAAACCACTATTCAAGACCTTCAGTTTCTCCGTTTTTGCTGCCCAGCCCTGAGAAAAGAGGAAAGCGGCAAATGGGTCAAAGGAAAAAAACTGACTCTCCATGTTTTCTTCCTCTTGCGCAGCATCCGTAGTTCCTAAGCCCCCATGGCCTCTTTTTCTGAGTGTGGTGCCTCTGAAGCCCCTGTCTGCGCATGCCCGTGAACATGCACACGTTGCAGGAGCGTCTCTCTCGGTTTCTCAGTCTTAAGCAGCTTTCAGCTCTTCCATATCAGGCCAGAGAGGCCCCTCCACACCTGCTTCCAGCGCTGATGCACACCCTCCTGCCCCCCCCACCCCGCCCCAGCAACCTTGCCTTAACTCCTCACCAGCTGGAAGGGGGGTGGGGGAGGCTCGGCACCCTTCTGGGGCTGCAGAGGCCAGCAGATTGGCACATGGCTTCTCAGTTGGGAAATCCAGCGGGCATTTTCTCTTAGAAGCTAAGAATAGAAATGGTTGCTACCTCGATTTTGGTAATTGCACTCTGATGGGTCAACTATGCCATTATGGGCCCACCTAGGCATCTGCCTCCCTCACACCCAATTCCTGCCCAGGGATGAACACTTCAGTCTGTGATGTCAGCACCTGCCTCCCAACTTCCTGGCAACCCCAGATGGTGCTTTTGGATCGTGACACAGCAAAAGCTATTTGTGCTCTGTTTTCACTGGTTCCCAGTCAGGAGTCAGGGCTCATAAGCCCAGCTAGCCAAGGTTCTGGTGGTGTTTTTACCAGAACCTTCCATGTGTTGTCCTGGCCTGTGAAGACCATGAATTCCATGAGGACAGAGAGCAGGTCTTGGGAGCTGAGCCGCAAGCTGTTGTGAAGTTCAACTGAATGTTCAAAGAAATACACGAACTACCGGGTACTTGCAAGTGCTTGCTAGTGTGGTTGGGGTCATGGTACCAACCAGGTCACAGAGAGACCCTATGCAAAGGTCTATAAGACAGGACTGTCCTAGAGTCTTAAGGGCACTAGGAATCCCCCAGGGCTTCTGTAGTGCCTGGCAATCTACAAATGGGTGATCTACAGATTGGTCCTGAAAGATCAGTCTCTTTAGTTCTGGACCGGGAACAAGAAGCCCTCGTCACTCTCAGACTTGTGAGAGCCGTAGCTCAGCCTAAAGATCACCCCACATGTAGTGAACAGACCTTCATCACAATTCTTCCCTCCAAGCATCCAGAAGATGTGTGAGTAAGAGGTTTGCAGGCCTCCTTCTTAGCCAGTGATTGTTTTTGTGAGCCTGGAAGCAGAGATCTGACTGGTTATGAAATAGTCTCAGAATCCAGAGCATCATTTCTCTCTCTCACCAGATTTCAGTCTCTTCCATTCAGATGTCAGAGGGCGATGCTCTCCTGTGCTTTTCACCGCAGGACCCAGGACAGTGACAGAGGGAGCAACTGTTCTCTGCTGGATCAAAGCAACCAGCACTAAGCTTCTTGTTCCCGGTCCAGAACTAAAGAGACTGATCTCTCAGGACCTACCTGTAGATCACCCATTTGTAGATTGCCAGGCACTACAGAAGCCATGGGAGATTCCTAGTGCCCTTAAGACTCTAGGACAGGCCCTCCCTGGTGGCGCAGCGGGTTAAAGCACTGCACTAAGAAGCTTAAGCCACTGTTGCATGAGTTCGATCCCCGCCTGCCCTGGAGGTGACCACATGGCGTGGCAGACCTCTCCTGACCTGCCCGCTGCTCCCCTCAGCAGTGTACTTCGTGGATCTGCCTGTTCTGCTCCCCACTCTGTCTCTGGTGAAGCCTCTCACCGCCCCTGAGCCTCTGGCCTGTACCCCAGTTTTGTATGCACAAATAAATAAATCTAAAAAAAAAAAAAAGAACTTTTAAAAAAAAAAATCTAGGACAGTCCTGTCCTATAGACCTTTGCATAGGGTCTCTCTCTATGACCTGCTTGATATCATGACCCCTAACCACACTAGCAAGCACTTGAAAGGTGTCCAGTACAACTGTGGAATTTACCTTTATTTAATTTCATTTAATTTAAATCTAAATAGGCCATTTGGGTTTTTTTTTTTAAGATTTATTTATTTATGCATACAAAACTGGGGTACAGGCCAGAGGTGTGGTAGGTGAGAGGATTCACCAGAGACAGAGTGGGGAGCAGAACAGGCAGATGGACAAAGTACACTGCAAAGGGGAGCAGCGAGCGGGTCAGGAGAGGTCTGCCACGCCATGTGGTCACCTCCGGGGCAGGCGGGAATCAAACTCATGCGGAAGTGGCTTTACCTTCTTAGTGCTGTGCTTTAACCCACTGCGCCACCACGGAGGGCCCATCCTGTTTTAAATTTTATAAAATGTGGCTAGCCCCTCTTCAATGCAGTCTGATTCTTAGGAGAGTTTTGTATTTGTCTTTGCAGCCTTCAGACAAGGAGATGTTCAGCCATTCGATTACTAGCCTGGCCACAGACGCCCCCGCCAGCAGTGAGCAGAACGGGGTGCTCACCAATGGTGACAGTAAGTGCAGAGATGCCAGCTTTCTATCCAGGCCTCCTTGTCTGGGAAAGTACTAGGTTTCCAATAATGCAGCTCAAAAACTAGGAAATGTGTCCTTATACACTTCTAATTTAGCAAAAGTAATCTTATGTGGAGGAAGAGCTAATATTTATTCACTGGCTTCTATGTGCCATTTGAGATTTACATGTATACACACACATTTCTCCTAACTACCCTGCAAATATTACTATTAATAGTGACTTTACTACTCCATGTAAAGCAATCAGTATTACTGTCACAGTCCAGGAGAGAGAACTGGAGCACTTTGCTGCTGAAACAAGTTAGCATGAATCCAGCACTTTAAAACAATACGAATCTATCAACTTTCAGCTCTAAGATCAAAGTATCAACAAGACCATGATACTTCCTTGAGGCTGTCTGGGAGAATCATTCCTTTACCTGCTTTAGCTTCTAGAGGCCACCTGCATTCCTTGCTTCACTTTTCCCTCCATCTTCAAACCTCCAACACCCCTCTCTCCCTTACCAAGAGCCCTGCTAATAAGAGGGGCTCTGGCTATTCTCTTCCTTTCCTGGAAGCCAGCTGTTGGTTCCATCTGTAACCCTTGTCCCTCGCTGGCCATGTAACCTAACTTACAGGTTCTAAGGATTAGAGCACATTACTCTGCCTCCACAGAGATTGACAGTTTGCCTGAGACTGCACAGTCAAGGCCCTGAGCTGCTGTAATTGGAACCCAGCAACCCGAGTCCCAGGGCAGCCTGGGAACCAGTCTGCATGCCTCCTCGTTCATGTGCCTGCTGCTCTCACGGACAGAAATAGCAGCTACGTTTGCTTCCCACTTGCTAGTTCACAGTGTTTTTATCTAAGTTAGGGTATCCTGTCACCTCCATTTCTTGTAAGGAAACTGTGAGGTGCTCAGTGTTTACACTGAAGTCTGGGGATGAGTATGCATGTGCATATGCACACATGCATGTCCACACTGATAATTAAGAATTTAGAACACAGGTGGGTGTGATGTTACGTTCAGAAAGGTTGAGGGATCCATTATCATTTTCCTCAGTTACCCCCTAGGCTATATTTCTGAACCCTTAAAGTGAGACACGTCCTTTTCATAAGGACAAGAGTACTTTATTCGTTCATTTGTTGAGTTTTTGTGCCAAAAAATATAGGTGTGCTTGTCATGTGATTGACACTGTCCTGGGCGCCAGAGAGCTTAGAGAATCCCAGTCTAGTCAGTAAAATGAAAAAAGAATGGGTTAAAATTCCTAGGTTAAAAGAAAAGTGTTAAAGGTCTTCTACACACACATATAGACTGTATATAACATACAAGAAATATATATTTATTATAGAGTATAAAAGCTTAAAAATAAGTAAATATGTACGTGTAAATATATTTTAAGTGCACATGTATACTTACATCTACTTGTACTTTTTATACTTGCCTATAAAGAATATCTATATAAAACTATATATGAAGAATGCAGACAGTGATTTAATAGCTTGTTCACACAGCAGAAGCACTGGAGGCTAAGGCTGTTTTGATGAATGATGACGTGTCTTCAGTATCATCCAGCCCTGGCACATCACAATCACTCACCACCAACAGATTAGAGGTGACTGACCAGTATCACACAATAACATTGCTGCAGCAATCAAGCATTTCACATTTGGATTTTCTAATTTGAGGTAGAAATGTTGGGGTGGAAGGAAGACCTATAAAGGGGCATGGGCTGTGTGATCTTTTATGATGCTGCATTTTTGAGCACTTCCCTGTCATGTCTGCCAAACAGAAGTGACCTGGGGTGGCTACCAATTACTCTCTCAAACAAGAGGAAGCTAGTAAGGCCAGGGAGCATGCCCCCCACATCTGCCCTGCTTTTAGTGCCCAGGCTCCACATTTGGCTTTATGGGCTTTCACTTTCACTTTCATCATCTGGTCACACTGGATACTCTGCCTTCAACAGCCCCATCAGGGGTAACAAGAAATGATGAGAGTCACCAGAGACCAAAGCGCTAGGCAGACTTATAGATTGAATATTGTCCTGGGAAGCTGTCACTGATGATTCTGGTTTAAACTGTGACTAAAATAAGACTAGCAACTAACAAGTATTCCATCTAGAATTTGCAGCCTTGAGTCAACCTCCAGGTTGATGTCATCTACCTTTCCATTATCCTGTTCACTTTAACAGTTATTTCAGGAGTCACTTTTCTACTTTTTTTTTTAATTTATATATATATTTTACATCATTCTTCATTTTGTGTATTTTTTCATCTCAGTTGTAATCCCCATGGGCTTCCCACCACTAGTTCACCCCTATGCCATCACCACAGTCCAGGGCCACTTTTAATCCCTCTCCACTTTAGTTCTTTCAGAAGACAGTAGTATGACCTGTATGCAACATTATGAGGAAGTCCAGACATCAGCTTCAGATCTGCTGGACTCCCAGGATAGCACCGGGAAGCCAAAGTGCCATCAGAGCCGGGAACTACCCAGAATCCCTCCTGATAGTGGCGTGGACGTCATGCTCAATGCCAGTGCAGATGTAGACCAGGGCGTTGGGATGGAAGGACCCTATGAAGTGCTCAAAGATAGCTCCTCCCAAGAAAACATGGTGGAGGACTGTTTGTATGAAACCGTGAAAGAAATTAAGGAGGTGGCCGCAGCTGCACCCTCGGGGAAAGGCCACAGCAGCAAGTCAAAGTCCAGTTCAGCTTTGAAAGAGCTTCCGGGATCCCAAGCTGATGGCAAAGCAGATTTTGCTGAATATGCCTCCGTGGACAGAAATAAGAAGTGTCGACAAAGTGCTAATGCAGAGAGCATTCTTGGAAATTCATGTGAACTGGAAGAGGAGGCCCCACCACCTGTCCCTGTGAAACTTCTGGATGAGAATGAAAACCTCCAGGAGAATGAAGAGAGAAAGGCAGCAGAAGGAGGAGCCACAGAGGCAGCCGGGGAACCCAACAAGGTGAGCTCAGGCATTCATGTGGTACCCGCCTTTGTCAGCATTAGGGTTCTAGTGAGTCCTGGGGCTTTCACTTGCACATTATTCTGGGCAACATATACAAACACATTTACTTTATTGAATGATGAAATCTGCTTTAGTGAAAGCTGCATTTGATTTTTTTTTTCCTCCAAGTAATAAAACACTGGAAACGCATGTTTATGAAATGTTTCTGTCTCGGCGCCTTTCTTGAGTAGGTTCCAACTTTTACGTCATGTATAGCTGGGACCAACTGATACTTTCCTCATGTTTAAAGACCATGAATTTGAGAGACGAGTCTTTTGCCATGCATTTATCTTTTCCTCTTGGTGCCTCAGGGAATCTTCACCCTTCCAGGGTCCCAGAAATCAAAACAGAGGAGGATATGTAGAGGTACCCAGCTCACCACACTGCTGGGTGTATCTGATTATACATATACTTTTATATAAGTCAAGAAAGAGATTTTGTCTTGTGATCAGATGTCAGAAAATGGCAGTGGGAGCCTAACAGTGTTGACGGATTGTTGGATTTGAGTTATAGAGGGGTGATGATACACAGTACATGTTGATGTGGAAGGGGTGACCCAGGGTACAATGGTAGCATGGTTGGTGTTTAGGGTAAAAAAGGAAATCTGGGCGTATGAGTAGTAAAGTCGAGTGGAAGAAGAATCAGCGGGATGGTCCAGGAACTGAAAGGCAGATTTAGAAGATACATATTTGTTGAAATCATCAAGAATTCACACGGAATATATTAGAGAAAGAATCAATAAAACAGGAATATTGAGTAAGAATCAGTAAAACAGAATTAAGAAGGGAGGTTGGGAACAAGTCACAAAATGTGTTGATTTCTCCATTGACTTTGAAAAGTTTCCATATGATTTGAGCTCATAATAATGATTCATACAAACTGTAGACATATTAAATTCCAGCATTTGATAAAGAAGCACCATGTTTGTTTCATTTTTAACATTGATGGCCAATCTTTCAGTGATAATTAATAATTGAAACTGTTGTCTGTATAATAAGTCTTTGGGTTTTGGGTACCTATAGATTCAAATATAAGTTAGAAAAAATTTCTTTCAGTGTAATAAATTTTCCAATAGATTATTTTTATCTAAGTGGTTTTTTCCTCAGATGTTTTATGTAATTTCTTTGTGATTCCCTAAAGATCATTTTAAAATACTGTTTATAGAGCGATACATCAAAACGTGCAAACAAAAGGCTGGATTATTGACTTCAAAACACGTTCCCTTGGTTTGTATTTGTTTCTAACAGAGATTTAGTTCATTGTCATACAAATCCCGAGAAGAAGACCCGACTCTCACGGAAGAAGAGGTGAGTTCTATTTTTTCAATAACCAGAAAGCTTCCATAATACAGAACAGAGCTTCTCTCCTTAAGTAAATGTGCTGACATGTTACCCTTCTCTGAGAAATTACTTCTTTCAGCACATCAGGGTTTGGGGGTGTTGGCTTACTAATGATTACTTCTTTCAGCACATCAGGGTTTGGGGGTGTTGGCTTACTAATGATTCAGAGAGGGTGACCGAGAGGTAGTAAAACAAGAAGGAAGCCAGGCTGAAGAGGTTAGCTAAGTAAAGGAGACATGGAGGAAAGAAGGGCCAGGAAGTAAGAGAACGGAGAAGGAAAAACCAGGCATGAGGAGAGAAATTGAAGTTGGAGGCTTTAGGCTATGGTGAGGAAGTTCACATAAGAAAGGAAACTGTGACTTGAAAAATACAGGAAACTGCAACAGGTTTGTGTAGGGAAGTTGATCCGCCCTGGGGACAGAGGGAGAAGATCTCAGTGAGGAGCTTGCAAAACAAGAGAGGAGAAAGCTTCAGGAAGTACAATTCCAGACTGGAACTAGAATCAGACATAGAGGCCAACAGAAAAGGGTTATATCTTCTCCCAAGAACTGAGGCTCAAAACTCACTGCTTGAACATTCAGTGAAACATTAAAGTAAAAGCCAGTGCAAATGTTACTATGTCAAATTCGACAGATTGCTGAACACCTTGCCCTACCTAGCTGCATGTAGCTTCTATCTGGAAGTCCAAGCATAGTTAGGCTAATATGTGTCCCAAAATGATGTGTAAGTGTGTGCACCACCTGGTCTGTACGACTTTCAGAACTAAAATATGATACTGGACTTTGAACCCATGTGAAAGGTTCAAGGAGCAGAAGTGGTGTTTTGTAGATGATGCCCCCCAACCTCCAACTGTGTTCCCTTCCCAGGAAATGCACCTGCCACCCAATCCAAACCATGGGGTCGTTCTTGACACCCATTTTGCCTAGTATGCACAGATGAAGTCATCCTTTTTTCCCCAGGCATTGTCCCCAATCCATACTGACCACCCCACATGAGGCTGGGGCAGCACCCTCCTCCCAGCTGGGCAGCAGATTTATTTGCCTCCTGTCCATTTCCCACACCGGAGCCAGAACGAGCCCATCTGGGACAAGAAAATAGAATGAATAAGGGATCTGGAAACTAATCCTTTGAAACAGATTCAGACTATGTAAAATTTCATTTAATTACTTTTTTCTGATGATTGCTTTTTCGGATTTTGAAAATAGGACCTAGTTAAAAGGATGAATTTTTAATGTAGGTAAAGAAGGGTGATTCAGATACTTATTTTAGGAAAAAGACTTAGAAAATATAAATATGGAAATCATTTATTTTTGTATTCATATAATGTAATGTTAGTCCAGACTGAAACTGAGAAATGCATTTTAAGTACTATTATACCAGTTTAACAGAATGATGGGGAAAAGGTTGACTATAAAAGAAGAGAAATGGGAAAAGGAAGAGAGTAATTTCTGAGAACAAAATAACAACTTACAGACTGAATAACAAAGATGAAAAGATTTTAAAGACACAAATTGAAAAATCTAAATAGCAAGGGGACTTAAAGAGAATCCTGGTTACAAAATAGAAACTATAGTCAAAGAAGACAAATATTCAAAAGGAATATTAGAAGATTGAGGAGCTTTTGTGAGAGCTCAAACTCACATTTATAGCCTGTGCACACAAAGTTCATAGTCAGAGACAACATTAAGCACAAAGCTAATTTAAAAAAAAAAAAAAAAGCCAGTAATTTAGAAAAAAGGTTCCACATGCTAAGAGGACCCAGGTACTTACAAAGACCGGAGAGTTACTGGCAGAGCCCAAGGGAATAAAATTGAGGAGAGAAGCAAGAACTTGGTGTTTACAATGTAAGCAAAACTGTGCTTGTCCTCCTTGATGTTACTCTGGACCAAGGTGAGGAATAAATAGCCACTGTCCTGGCTCCCTCATCGCTGATATCTGTGATTTACCCCTTTAAAGTCTGCCCACGGTTCTGGTTTGAACCTCCTTTTGTATAATAAGTACTCTCATGTTTGCACCTCACTATGAGAAGCAGAGGCATTTTTTTATTCTTCCTAAATTCAGAGAAATAATGTATTCATTAAAACCTCTATGGCAAGAATATTAATTTAATATTCATTCGAACAGTCTGATCAACATGGCAAAAGTTTCCCAAAGATGTCTGACTACAAACCTTTAGATTGTCAGACCCTGGCAAAACCACACCACCAGCCTGTAGTGAAAAGTTCTCATGCAAATGACCAGTTAACACACAGCAGGCCTGTCTTAAGAAGCTTTTGAGGCCAGCTGGAAACTTCATCCACAGTCTGTGAGATATGTGAAAGCAAGAAAATATCTCCCCACACTTGGGAAGCCAAGCATCTGTCAGGAAGCATGTTCATTTATTCCCTGAGTGTTGGAGTAAGTCAATCACTGTAGCAAAGATAAATACAGGTAGTGAGGGCTATTTGTACTTATTCCTAACCATGATGTCTAACAATAAAATAATACCTCCCCCATTTCTTAGCCAGTACATTGCAACCTATCATTATGAAAGAAAATTAAATCCCAGCTCTCGGTGGAGCTGGTACCTGGGCTGTGTTAGTGAGGTGTGCTTGAAACACAGCCCGCCCCCCACCCCCACCATAGAAAAGTGTCTCTTAAGTTCTTTGTCTCATTTCTGAGTTCGCTGCTTGCAAATAAAAATGAATTTCCCGTAGAAGAAAACAACCTGGTCTGTAAATGTCTGTTTAATAATTTGTGATGAAGTGAAAAATTAATAGGAAATCACATTTTTATGGCATCTTGCACTGTCCATCAGGATCCAGGGACTATTCTAGTCCCACTGCAGGAAGAGTGGACCAAGTAGTTGAATTCAGCACTCCTCACGCTTTTGGGGCTATCAAATCAGCCCAGATGGGTGGGGGCCACCCCAGAGTTTCTGCTTTAGTGCTTCTGAGATGAGCCCCAAGAATTAACTTTTTTTTTTTAAGATTTATTTATTCATACATAATTGGGGTACAGGCCAGAGGTGCAGGGGAGGCAAGAGGATCACCAGAGACAGAGTGGGGAGCAGAGTACGCAGATCGAAAAAGTACACCCCTGAGGGGAGCAGCGGGTGGGTCAGGAGAGATCTGCCACACCATGTGGGTCACCTCCGGGGCTGGGGATCAAACTTGCACTGAAGCAGCTGCGGCCAGCTTGCAGTGCTGCACTTTAACCCTCTGTGCCACCAGGGAGGGCCCAGAATTAGCTTTTTAAATAAATTCCCAGATCTGCTACTGCTGGTGATTTGAAGCTCACAAACACCTGGGGTTTTTTTGTTTGGTTGGTTGGTTGGTTTTTTTTTTTTTCTTTTTTCAGAAAGTAGTAAAGTACTTATTCAAGTACAGTATCATTCTGATGTAAAAATCAAATAAAACTTGATGCTCTGGTCAGGTCCTCGTGGCCTCTTGAGCTGCCCACTCCACCTGCTGTCCTCGTACTGCCTCAGCAGACCTGGAGAGAAGGCTGTTCTCACTATGTTAAATGACTAGTCCACGGAAAAGTTAAAAATACATATAATTATTCTCTAGTAATTACTCTAGGGTTGGTTCAGAGGATAAAGAACCCTCTTCTGGATATATAGCTGAGGAAATGGCCTAAAAATGGAGAGCTGTCATTACCCACATGTTCACTGCATTATTTTTATTTTCCATCTCTCTCCCCCATCCCCTCCACTCTTTCCCATATTCCTCAACCACTATCTCTTTCTTATCAAGTTCAAATTTTGTATTTCTTCTATTGTTTACATTTGATTGTGGCTTTAGTATTTATATTCCATCAACGGGTAGAACCATCCAAAGCTTGTCTTTCACTTTTTTGACTGTGTCCACTTAACATAATCACATCAATGCCAAATGTCTCCAGTTCATCTTTCTTCACAGCTGTATACTATTGAGTGCTGTATGCCCCACAGTTTCTTGATCCATTCATCAGCTGAAGGGCATTTGGGCTGGTTCCATGATTTGGCAACTGTAAACAGTGCTGCATCATTATGCTCACTGCCACATTACTCACAATAGCCCAGATATGGAAACTGTGCAAGTGTCCTTCATTGGATAAATGAATAAAAAATGTTTACATATATGTGAGTATGTGTGAGTATACACACATATATGCACATACATACACACATATACATGAAATGAAATATTATTCAGCCATGGGAGAGACAGACATTCTGCCTTTTGTGACAAACTGGGCGAACTGTGACAGCATTATGATAAGTAAAATAAGACAGATAAAGACAAATCCTATGTGTTCTCACATATATGTGGAATCTGAAAAAATCAAACTTACAGACATTGGGGAATAAAATGGTGGTTACAAGGGATTGGATAGTAAGGGAAGTAGGGAAATGTTGGTCAAAGGGTAAAAACTTGCAGCTGTAAGATAAATAAGCTCTGATATCTGAGAGACAATATGGTGTCTATAAAGGACAGTCCTACATTATACTTGAAAGTCGTTCAGAGTAGACCTTAAATATTATCTCTCGCACACACAAATAAGGCAACTGCAGTAATAGAGGTGTTAACTGACCTTTCTGTGGTAATTATTTCACACGGTAGATATGTATCAAGTCCTCACATTGTTCATCTTAAACTTGCTTATGTTATACATCACTAGTACTCAGTGAAAACAGGCAAAGGGAACTAGCAAAAGAAAAGCAAACAGATCTTAAAGGGACACCCACACACTTGCCAGTAGTGCTGAGTATCTAGCTTATCTCTGAAGGAGGTTGGGGGTGAAGGGGAGTAGTGGAGCTTGAAGCTTATTAATTCAATTCATCCTTTCTCTTTTCCAGATCTCAGCCATGTATTCATCAGTAAATAAACCTGGACAGTCAGGGACTAAATCAAGACAGTTGCTTAAATCACCAGAGTCCACCTACACCTCCATTCAAGGAGCCACTCAGAGACCCCCTTCTTCCTGTAACGATCTCTATGCCACTGTTAAAGACTTTGAGAAAACTCCCAACAACGTCAGCACTGTTTCACCAGCAGGGAAACCCAGTGGAGAGCTGGAGCCCGAGCCGGATTATGAAGCAATACAGACTCTAAACAGAGAAGAGGAAAAGGCAGCTCTGGAGACCAATGGCCACCACGCCCTTTTCCCAAAGGAGAATGACTACGAGAGCATTGGGGATTTGCAGCAAGGCAGAGATATCACCAGACTCTAGCAACCCTGAAGACAACCCCAGATAACATGCACTCAGCTGGCTAAGGACATTTTTTCCATGGAAGATAAGGAGCACTATCAACCTATAATTCATAATGCTGCTTTAGTAAACTGAAGGCAGCTGGAGCTGCCTTGACCTTTTTCCAGTTTCAGACATAATGAGGTACGCACCTGGCTGCACCTTTGGGTGCCCCTGCCTCTGCTTGCCAGAGGCAGGGGCACCCTGGCTCATCCAGCACATCTTCCTCATGTACCCTCGCCATCGGGAAAGGTCCCACCTGTCAGTGGCTCACCCTGTTAGCGAGGAAAGCCAAGATGAAAGGAAGAACTACACTCATCAAGAACCACACTCCACCTGCCTAAAATACTGCCATTCTGAAAAGCCAGGTTTTTTTAAGTTCTCCCTTTTGCTGTCAGCTACTAACATAAAAATGGATGGAGGCTGTTTCCCTTAAACTCTGCCAGTTTCTAATGGTTCATTCCAAGGAGATGCTCCCTTTGCCTTCAAATACATGTTTTATGATGGTTAAAACATACGGTTGTTGGTTCCCATCAGCTCAGTCATCCTCTTCAGAGAGCTGCACAGGAGTCCCAATTCTGCAGGTGGACAGATTGGGGACACCCAACCTGGGGTTTTTAGGTCTCCTTCCTTCTGGTTCTGGCACTCCACCTCAACAGCCTCCCCCAAAATACTTGAAGTCATTTTTAGATGCTTTATTTTATTTTTCTAATCAAAATGGTTTTTCCCCAGTATTTGAAACTTTCAGAGCCTTTTCAGTATTTTCATATGGAATATTGTGGTACTTCACTACTTGTTTCAGCCCAGAGCTCATTCCTCCGAAACAGAGAGCCTTAATCTCTATGTTGGGACGCAGACTACATCATGTGGCAGCAGCCTGGGGTCTGTCTTTGAAGGGCTGTGGACTTGAATATGTATTTCTGATGATCTCCACTGCCTTCTACCAGTGTGGGATTTCACAAGTTAACTGCTACCCTATGGTTATCTAAGATTAAAATGTAGACATTTATTTTTGTTATATAAATTTATAAGATGTTTTACATTTACTGCCTAATTTCTAGAAAGTGCCAGAAAAAAAATGTATATTAACTATTTTGGTTTTATGTACAATGATTTATATTCTCATTTTGAAAAGACACCATAAAGCACATAAGCTAGATAATTACAAGTAGTTGTCTTTTTTCTAACCAAGTGTACAAAGTATTGAGGGTTTTTAAAGACTCCACTTTTCAAATGGTACTTGGCGCTCCTGGGGAAAATCATCTGGTTCATTGGAGAAATAAGTAGAATAAACATAAATGAACATTTTCAGTAGTTTATGGTGGGCAAAATTGAAATATTGCTAAGAATGGAAAGAACAAAATTTGACTGGGGTGACTGCAGATTATTAACCTCATGAAAATATTATAATTCCATTCAGGTATAAAAAAAAGAGTGATGAATTCTGCCGTCCAGTTTGCAAATGCAGATTGCCTACTGGGATTTTTCCCCCCCTTTTAACAAAAATCAGTGGCTGAAAATAACTCATATTAAGAGCTCAGCTGGTTTAAATTTAATCATCTCTTTAGATCTTATAAAAGTCCAACATTGGGAAACTTATTCACTTTTCATTTTAAAAGGAACCTTTTAAAGTTTGAAGTGCTATTATGAAGTGTGGACTAGAGATTGGGAGCTGTTCCTACACCGATAAAGAAAAAATAAGGCAATTATTCCATACTGCTGTGACATCTGTGACTTTTCAGATTGAATATTCTTGCTGCTTTCACTCGTTATGACAAAGAATACTCTCAGAAGAATGAAGCATCTTGAAAATTGTAGAGACCAGCTCGCTGGCATGTATTTTCTCTCCCTTGCATTCACGGCTTGATTTTGTGATTGCTCTATAATACATTTCTGAAATTGGAAAGTGAGCCATGTTGGGGCACACTCGTCAGCTGTCATTTTTCAATCAGTTTGGTCGCTCCCATGAACAGCTCATGTGCACAATCATCTGTGATTCAAAGGTAATAGCGGAACATCACTAGATTAGAAAGAAGTTTGTTGGGAAACTATCAGCCCCTTATTCTTTGAAATCACATCTGTCCTCAGTAAGCACTGTTTTGCCTGCTAATTCTCTTCCTTTAGGATTAATGGTTGGGCCAAGCCATCTCTCACACTTCACACCTACCGTGTCCTAGCTGGGGAAAGTCCTTTGTGGGCACAGAAAGTTTCATTGTATTCCATGCTGTCTTATTTATTGCCAGGAATATGGGTTTGAACTCTAAAATGTAAAATCATGTCTAGAAAGAGATCATTATAGTATTATCGTTCTGAAAAGGCATTATCAGAACTTTGCCCAGAAGTTTTAAAACAAAGGCTAACGAAGTATAGCCACAGATTCTGCATTGAGCTCTGACTCTTCATTAAACAACCACTGCTGTGAATACATTATGACATAAAGTATGGTAGGTGTATTTTAAAAGGAAACTATAGGCATTCCAGCACAAATCTTATAAAAATATGTGCCGGTACAGTCCATGAGGGTGGAGAGAGGGAGAAGAGTAACCTTAAGAAGAAAATTCTACTCTTAACCCCTGGGGATCTTACTGAAGTATGTTTATTGATAAAGTGTTATCATTGCTTTGACCTTGTAGTAGAGTATTTCCTATTTTCACCACTTTTCATTGTTGAAAATCAGTGGTAGAATCTTTGAATTGGACAAAGCCTATGGCTTCTTTTAAAACATTTTATCTTCAGCTAAATGTTATAGAGTTTAAATGTATGGAAGGTAATTGTATAAAAAAGAAGAATGTTCTATATCTTTAAAATTCCACTTTAAAATCCCACTGTATTATACATTCCACTGGAATAACCTAGGTTATGTGAAATGATACAAAAGATAAGAATAATTTTAGGAAATTTTTTTCTTACAAATCAGAATTATAAACTTACCAAAATAGTAGGTCTTTGTTGTTGTTGTTTAATAGATTGATTTATTTACGCATACAAAACTGGGGTACAGGCCAAAGGTTCAGGGGTGAGAGGATTGACCAGAAACAGAGTAGGGAGCAGAACAGACAGCTGTACTGAAGTACACTGCTGAGGGAGCAACGGGCAGGTCAGCAGAGGTCTGCCGCGCCATGTGCGTCACCTCCCTGGTGGCTGCAGTGGCTGTGGTAACTTCACAGTGCTGCTCTTTAACCTGTTGCACCACCAGAGAGGGCCTGGATCTTTGTTTTTATCCAGATATTTTAAAAGTTCAGAAGAATTTTTTTATTCAGTTTTTACTGTTTTTCAAATAGAATCAGCAGGACACGTAACCCTTTTTATATGAAATGTTTAAGAAAATTTTAAATTCTAGGAGTTTTTGCAAATATGTTAGCTACATATACATATATATTTGTTCTTGTCCTGCATACAATTGCATCATTAGGTCTTCTAAAGCTTTTGAAGGTACCACCTTCCCTTGTGGGGGGGTAAAAGCTAATTACTGATTTATCTGCCCTCAAGTCCAATAGTTAATTCTGACTGTATGCTAAATTAACAGCAATTGTCAACCCAACATAATAAATTGTAACCTTATCATGTCACCATATCTTTTTCGGTTTGTTTTCATTTTTCCAATTTGACATTCACTTATTCTAACCAGTAACAAACTATAAATATATATATATGCTATACATATACACACATGTATATATACAAAGTTACTCTGGTGCTTAACTAATTAGAATTCATCCTATTATATATTTTGTAGGTATATCCTTTAGTGAGATGACTGCGTCATTAAGGCAACATTAGAAAAAACAGTTCTCCAATAGTTTTTATTTGGTAATTACAGGAACACCTTCTTGAGTTGCCCTCAGTTAACTTTTCTAATGAATCCATTCAGATTTTAAATTGTGTCCATAATTCTCTTAGCTGAAAGACAGTAGTATTTTATAATAGTTTGATGATGCATGTGGCTCACTGCATATTCAGCCAGGTGGGAAGAACTGTAAATAGGTGTCCTCAGATAGGATTTTAAGAAGAGATTTGGCCAAAAGCAATGAGAGTAGCTGTGAACCAGGATGGGGCCTTCGCAAGGCGACCCCCACCAGAAAGTAGAGCCAAGGCCCATTAGCACATGGTGACCTTTTATTTCATTCTCTTTATTTAGAGTCCACAGGATTTTACCACAGTATCAGTAGGCAGTGATGTGGTATGAAGTGCAAAATGTGCTCTAAAATGATGATGTGACATGCCAAAAATCAGAATTGCAGTTGAAGGCTGAATTAGGATTTTGTAAATGAGTAAAGACATGTTTCCAGTACTCCTTGTATTAGTTCTGTGAGTCTGTGTGATCTGGTGCTTCCTTTCTCCTCACAGTGTTGACTTCTAGTATCTGGCCAGTTTAGCTTTGGCTGTTGGAAGCAGAGTAGGTACTGATGGTCTTGACAGGCTTATTGTACTGTGTAATTGGGAAAAGTTAAGTGTATTATGTTTGATGTTAATCAGTGACTGATGTAAAAAGAGGAGCATGTGTCAGTGCTCTCAAATATGGCTTTATTTGCAGTGAAGTCTAAGCTTCCTGTCCTGCAATAGTGTTTTCTTGCCCTATGTTATACTTTTTCTTCAATACATTGGTCTTGACAGTGGTATTTGACACGTTCACACACTTAGAAAGTGTTTGACTTTTAAAGATCTCAGTCCTAAAACTATGATAAATTAGTGTTCACCAGTAATTACCAGTCAATTTAAACAATCATGGTCCAGAAGAGAACAAACATTCAGAAGTGTTTTTTCCCTACTGCTCATTGTTGACTCTGTGTTTACATTGAGTCTCTAGTGTTTATATATTTCATCGTTTTTCCAGTTGCTTCTTTTATTTAATTAAGAAATAATTGTTCAGTATCTTGATATCAGAAGAAATGAAAAAATGTAATTTTTGTTATCAGGACAATTTTTCAACATCAGTTGGGTGCCATTTATATTGGTGCAGCTAAATTTTTCTTTGCACACTACTTATATAATATTATTTTTTAAATAATGTATTGTGCTCTGGTTGTCTCAGTCACCTTGTAAAATGGATTATTAAAGCTGGTAACTGTCATTCCTGACATTCTATATGTTAAATTGGAATCAGTAAAATCTTTTAATGTTGCTACCTTTTAAAAAAATTGTATTGTATTAACATGCCTCATATTTTCAGGGGACGTTTGAAATATAATTAGACAAATAGGAATTAGCATATCATTATTCATGCATTTTTTTCTCATAAAAATAGTTGCATAAAAAGTGACCAGTTATCTATTAAGCGGTCCCAATCAGTGTCAAAGTACTTCCCCATTACTCAAAAATGATTCATGACATTTTGACTCTTCTCAAAAGGTCTTTACAATTGTCAAATTGTCCAATCCACAAAAGAGTTTGCAAGTTTTTTTCAATATTGGAATGTGTAAATCTTTTTCGTCTGAAGATAGTTCGTATGGGTTTCCACATTTTATCATTTTTTTTCTCCTTCCTGAAGCTCAACCTTTAAAGGAATATGGCTAAAGAGGGGAGGCCTGAAGCCCCTGTTTCTTCCAGCCTTCCTTGGCTTTTCCAGCAGATGGCTTTCTGACATTTTGCATGTACCACCCTTCGGCCTGTCTCTTTCCTCCACCGCTCTGGCCACTATTCTCAAGACAACCCCTCACATCTTTTCTGATACAGGTCACAAGCCGGTGTCACCAATCTGCCTGCCAGCATAAACTGCAGCCTCAATTCCTTCAGCAGACAGCTGTGCCCCTCACAGGTTGTAGAGATAAACCAGGCCCCAGGTCTGCCTGAAAAGCAGATGCTATTTGCCAAAAGTTTTACTAAAACACCTATGTATGTACTTTTGCCCATACCTTTCATGAGAATGGTTGGCACTCAGGAGCCAAGGAAAAAAACACTTTAAAAGTTCTGTTGAGGAATTTAACTCACAAATGCAGGAAAATTAACTGACTGTCTAACCAGGTGA